CGGGCTGCGCGTGCGCGGTCACGTGTCTCGGTTTCCAAGGCGACGGGCGCGCGGCGGCCGTTGGCGGCGGCGGGAGGCGGGGTCAGTTCTCGGCGCCTCAAAGACGTGGGGCGGGAAACAGGGAAAGTCCCTCTGATTTGGTTGTTGTTGGTGCTGGACCAAAGGGAAAAGTAGTGCAAGTGTGACCTAGTTCCGTTTTTCGAATTCTGTTCCCAAATCAACTTTGATGGCCTTTGGTGTTTCAGGTTAATCCTAGTTTTAAATCTTACTCCCTTCATATTTATTTATTTATTTATACAACAACACCTTGATTGATTTGTTACCCACTGGATAGCTAAGAAAGAACCACGACAATTGGAAGCTTAGGGGCATCTGACTGTAATAAACATCACAACTTTCACTGTAGAATTTCTCTGTGTGTATGTATATCATCTGCACTCCCGTAACAAGGGTTTGGGTTTCAGTAAAAGTAACAGGCACTCAGTAGATAAGAAAACATTAATTTCAGTATGAAAGTACCCTGAATTTATAGGACCATTTGGTACTATAGTCAACTAAACTCTTATTGATAGTTGCTCCTTTCTTTCCTGCATTTCTACACTCCAACAGAAAACAACAGATGTGATAACCTATGGAAGCAACTAGGAACACTCGTTTATATCCATAAGCCAAGGCTTATGCCTTTATTTGGTGTACACTTAACCACAGTCTTTTATTCCTCATTAGTTCAGTGGTCAAAGTAATTTAATCTTTTCAAATGAAGGATTTAGCATGTAGTGGCCCTTCTCACATATACAAATCTCTGTGACATACATTTGACATTCAGTAATTTAGACAAGAGATTGTCTAAAGGCTGGATAGGGTTTGACTATTGTTACAAAATTTATTTTATATATAGAGAGATTTATGAATAATTTAGATATATAGAGTATATATGGGAATGTAAAGAGAAATGAATTGTTTTCTCTTGCTAGGATCTGACTCTAATTTGTGATGATGAGGTTTTTTTAGCAGTTTATTAAATTTGTACTAAAATGCCGAAGAAGAGGAAAGATAAAACTTATAGAAGTCATAAAAAAGGGATGCAGGTGCACTTCACATAGAAAATAACCTACAAAACAGGCTGCAATAATAGCGGGAAAAGAACGCTTGTTCTTTTATAACTAATGGAATTCATGGTTACCTAGTAAAAACAAATTTTGTCCAGAGAATATCAGCTAGATTTCATAGAGCATAAAGTTGCACAGTTCTGTTTTAAGATTTGATCACATAAGGATTTGACGACATTGGTGCAACCTCCTGAAAAGTAATTCTTTCTTTGATTTAAATCTAATTGATTTTAAATCAAATTTGATTTTAATAGAGTTTATGTCAGCCTAGCTTGTACTAGTCAATGTGCACTTTAAAAATTATATTGAATCCACATGAGGAGTTATTGAATCAAATGTTTGATTTATTGGTTTTAATTAAGGTACTAAATCTTTGTATTGTGGAGGCTTTAGAAATACTCTTGTTCTATAACAGCATCTCTTATCAAAGATCAGATATCCTTCCAATCCATATAAAATGGTAAGTAATGAAAAAGCCCTTGAAACTTTTCAAATACTCCATCACTAACAGATTTTCTGTGCCTGATCGTACAGTGAAGATGCTGCTTCGCTCAGGCAGCGAAGCCTGTCTGAACCAAAGACACATTCACTTGGTGTCTCCCAGAGATTTCACACCCATCATAGGGCTCTTAGGCCTATACATACTGATCATAAAAGATGCTGTGACTAAAGAGAGGACTCCCAGTGCTGTTGTTACTTTGTCCGGTTATGGTTCAGTTCCGAAAAGCACCTGTACTGTAACATCTAGGTCCTGGCATACCTGCATCGCCCTCTTGTCTTTTCCTCCTTAGTTGTGTATCTTCTTTTTCCTTCTAGCTGTTAGCTTACAGTTTAAAATCAGTGTGTCTTAGCTGACCTTTTTGCAGCACTGCAATGAGCCTGTGTCCAAAAAGGCAGTTAAAATGTCTTCAACAGCTCAGTGTTGATACATTGGCCAACTCACACAGTGGCTGCTAAAACTGTGCTGAGCCTGTTTTCCTCTTAGCAGTCAGGTTGCCAGCAGCAGTCAGGACCAGAAACAAAAGCTGCATTTTCAGCCACTGCTGTCCTCTTTTGCTTTCTGTTTTATTTCTGTGTTTGGCTTCTTTTCTCTTTATGGAAGCAAGGCCAGACTCCACTGAGGAGATTCATCAACAACCACATGTCCAGCACCTCTCAGCAGGTCTTTTCTTGTATTTCTAAGCGCAATCATTGCCATCCTCACTCCAGACCTGCAAATTATTGTCATATGTTGGGTAGGAGCCTCCTACAACTGCCCATTCGTGCACTTTTGTGGCAGCTGCAGCTCATTCACTCAGAGGGCAGCCTCCATCCAGAATTAAAATCCTGTCTGAACTGTCTGAACTGTCATCGAGTTCCCTGTGTTCGCTGTTGATGCCGGGTGGAAGCCTGGCTGCAGCACCACACTGGAGCAGGAGATAACGCTCCCTAACAGGGCCCTGCCATCAGAGGACTCTACACTTCATAGCAGAATCCATCCCAGGTTTCTCATCTCACAACTCGTGCTCTGTATTGAAATAGCAAATGAAGAGGTGTATCAATGCTGTCTAGATTAGAAACTCTTGTACAAATGTCCCAGTTAAAAAGTTAAAGTCAGGCTCAGAGTTTTATTTTTCAAGTATTTTATCTGTTTCTGCATTTTTCAGAGCTACACTATTTTTAATGATAGCTGTTGCTGTAATGCTTGGCAGGCTGAAGGAGCTGTATTCAAACTCTGAAGTTTATTTAAAATTCTGTGATGGACTTATTTCAACACCACTGGCCCTTATCCCAAATAGAAATAAACTAACCATAGCATTTTTAATCAGTGAGAATTAAGCATCTAAATGACCACATGGACATAGAATGCTTAAGGTTGGAAGGGACCTCTGGAGGTCACCTAGTCCAACCCCCCTGCACACGCAGGGTCACCTAGAGCACGTGGCACAGGACTGT